CCCCGACATCTCCGGGGTGCGTAAGTTCTGACCAGGATCTCTGAGCGCATCAGCGGTGGAGGTTTTGCTACCTCCTCCTCCTCTGAGAAGGGCCGAAAACATCCATGTCCACCGCCTGCACCGGTCCTGGCGGACCCAGACCCCGCCGACGTCGCAGTTTTTTGTTTCGCAACGTCGACACCCAGCGGTCTGGACCCCTTTCCCGGGTTCATCTTCGCATTCTGGAGCGTTTTCTGACGGCCCCGAGGCCCGTCAAGGGGCCCCCGGAGGCCCGAGAACAGCGTGAAAACCGCCCGTCGTGGTTTTGTCACCACGCGGGGGGGCGGGGCTGGTGACACATCCCCGCCGCGGAGCCTCCCCCCCCCCTGGCCATCGCTCGGACGTCCATTCCCTGTGTTTTTTTGGGCTTCGTCCGTGGCTTTTTCGCCAAATGATCAAGGATGCTCCTCGATGGTCCTCGCCGAAGACAAAATGCACACGTCCGAGCGATACCGAGCCCCCCAGTTCGCCCGACGCGAGCCTGCGACTCCAGGCGCCACTGCACCGCGGCCACGGGATACGCCTCCTCCGCCTCCGCGAGCAGCCCCCTGCCGCCGCGTGGCGGGGAGAGGGGGGCCGAGAGCAGCCCACCTCGAGGGGCCCAGGGACACACCAATGAATAGGCGAAAATCCAAGCATTCCCAATATGCTCTTATATTTTCTGGGTTTTCGTCGCCCCCCCCCACTTCGCACATTTTCTGGTACTTCCTGGGAGTCGGCGATTCATTGTGTCTGTGTGGTTTCCCCTCCTGACCATTCACGCACCTGTTCTCATACCATTCGCGACAACGCCCGTTAACATCGGGGAATCGAACCACTCGTCATTTTTCGGGCTGGAGCCGTCATTGATGAAACCCAGCCTGAAATTTGGCGCGAGCTCCTGCTGCCCACATCCCACGAAAACTGAACCGTTAAACTCCAGGACGGGCTCGCGAACAGGAGTCGGCGAACACGGCGCCGGCGCGAATCATGAGGTTACTGGCAAACTCCCCCAACCACGCCCGTCGCCTCGGCTCGATGCTCGAGGCTTCCGGGCGTTACAGTGCCGTTTTCAATATATGCTCCGCGTGCGGATCATGTATTAAAAATGTAGGGATTTAGCACCAAAAACAACGATGAGTTCATGCACAAATTTATTCGTAAATTAGTCATGTGATACAAAAAAATACAAAAACAATCCATGTGATCAAAGTCCGTGATTCGTAAATTGTTGCACAAAAAAATCCATGTATTAAAACCTGCCCTGTACGTGGGATGCTCCAGCCTCGAGATGCTTTCTCCGAAGCTGCGCCTCCCTGGGAGCGTTGCGGGGGGTGTCGTGGTCGTCCCGAGCGGCAGCCAGAGAGCCGAGCTGCGACCCCCAGCCGAGCTACGACCCCCATGGATCCCACAGGGGCTCCCAACTCCGCGCTCTCGCGCAGCGCGCAGCGCGAAGTGCGAATATAACTTCGCGCTCTCGCGCCGCCTCCCAGGGGAGAAGAGGAGGATGAGGAGGAATCGGAGCCGACCCGCGAAGCGCGAATAACTTCGCGCCCCCGGGGGCGCCCTTGAGTATCGACCCCCGATCAGGCATTCTCAAAGGAGGGACAGTCGAGGCGACCGCGGCACAGCCTGGCACTGTCTGTCCTCTCTGGGCCTCCTGGAGGCTCCTTCATTTGACGGCGCGCAGAAGAGGGTAAGGGAAGGGGGGAAGGCTTCTTGGAAGGAGGCTGCTTCTTGAAAGACGCTGGTCTGATCTGGGGTGCTTTTAAGAAGCCTTCTCCCCTCCCCCTACCCTTAGGTCGGGCATGTCCTCCTACAGGCGGAGTTGGGAAGACAAATGAAAACATAGTCAAAACAAATTCAAACATAGTTGCAAATCGTAACCGAATCGTCCCCAGACTGTTTTTCACTATTTTTGAATATTCCTCCTGCGGGAGCGAAAGAAGAACTTCACGCTGCTGTCGGCAGTGCGCCTTGCGCGCACGTTCGTATCACGCGGGTGGTCTCGCGGACTGGGGGGCCGTGCTCATGTATGTGATTGGGAACGTACGTGCTTTTTCGGCTCCCCCCAATCAGGCCGTATCCTGGCCCCAAGAGGCCCCGAAGAGGCCCCCCGAAAGGCTCCCAAGAGGCTCCAAAACTGCCCCCAATTGGCCCCCGAGAGCGCTCCGAAGAGACCCCGAGAAGCATCCCTAAGAATTCTGACCCACAACCAACGCACGGTGGCGGCGGGACAGACCGAAGGCCATTCGATAACGAGCATCAGAAACTAACAAGCACTTAAAGTGACGATCCCTGGGAGGCCCACTAGACGGAGCAGATTCGTCTTTCGCAGTATCCTGCTCTCGTCATTAGTATCTTGATTCGCCTCCCTCTCCTCGTCACCACAATCCTCGCTTTCATGATGCTGTTCCCCCGCCTGCACCAATCCAAGATCTACGGCCCGCGGAATCCATCATTCGAAAGTTACCCGAGACGTACACAACACCTTCTCCAAGCGAGGTGAACATTGGTGTGAACTCCCGAAACAAAATAACACATCGCCAAATATGCTGCCATCAGCTCCGCCGTGCCTCCCGGGAGCCCGCGAAAATGGCGACAATTGCAAAGTTCGCAACCACCCAGGAGCACCGAGATCTCGGCTGGATCCGCGCGGCCCCCGACTCCGCTGGACCTCCCACAAAAGTAGCGACGGGTGCGACTTTCGCAGCAATCCAGGGAGCAGCCAAGTCTCAATTAGGTTCGCACGGCCCCCGACTCCGCCGGCCTCCTCCCCCCTGGAGCCCACGGAAGCGGCGACAGGTGCGCAGCCTGCAATCCTCCAGGGGAGCAGCGAGGTCCCAAAAAGGGGCCGCGCGGCCCCCCAAACTCCCCTGAGCATGCAGGGCGCCCACGAAGGTGGTGGCGTGCCAGCTGCACAGCTCGCAGCCATGCAGGGGGCAGCGGGGTCCTAAACATAAAAACTCGGAGGCCCACGCGGATTTCTCGGATCCGCGCTGGGGCCCCCCGGCGGCGCCTCCGGCGCCGCCCCTGGCGCGCTCCGCGCGACAGGGAGGGGGGCCCCGGCGCCGATCCGAGAAATCCGCGCGGACCTCCGAGTTTTTCTGTTTATGCAACTTCTTGTTCCCCTAGAAATGGGCCCGCGCGGCCCCCTGCATGGCTGCGAACTGTGCAGCTGGCACGCCACCACCTTCGTGGGCGCCTGTGTAATGCCCAGCGGAGTTTGGGGGGCCACGGGGGGGCAGCTGCACAGCTCGCAGCCATGCAGGGGGCAGCGGGGTCCCAAATGGGCCCGCCGCGCGGCCCCAGACGCCGCCGCACCTCCCAGGAGAGCCTGCGGCAGTGGCGTGCCAGCTGCACGGTCCGACCACGCAGGGAGCAGCGCGGCCTCCTCCACATGTGTGCGTGCGTGGCCCTCGCCGCCGCGGGACCTCCCCCAGGGAGCCCGCAAAAAAGTGGCGACGGTTGCCCAGCTCGCGGCCTCCCAGCAGGAAAGGTACGCGCACCGGAAGGAAAGAGGCAGGAAGCAGGAGAGGATGCAGGAGGGATGAGGAGGGGGAGGAGGCGAGTGAACAGCACGGTGCTCTGTTCAGAACGAGAGGCCAACACGGGAAGGGTAGGGATAGCACATCTGCACAAAGTTAAACTTTGCGGAGGTCTGGCTCCCCACCCCACCCCACCTGGCGCGCGGAACGCGCCAGCGGCTGCGCTGGAGGCGCCGCCAGGGGGTCTGGCACCGATCCGAGAATTCCGCGCGGACCTCCGAAAGTTGATGCTGCTTGTGGTTCTTCGAATCGGCGGTGGACAAACCTTCCTGTAATAAATCTCCCCTTAGTGAAAACGGTCTGGGACCGAAACCGACGGACCTGGACCCGCAAAAACGACGGCCGCGACGCCCTCTCGCGAACCGAAAACGGCGAATTCCTGAATCGACGTGTCAGGGTAGGAGGTCTATCCACCTCCGAGGGATGCTTTCCGAAGCTGCGCCTTCCTGGAAGCGCTGCGCCCCTGACAGCGTTGGAGGAGGAGGAGGAGGAGGAGGAGGAGGAGGAGGAGGAGGAGCTTTAGGAGGAGGAGGAGGAGGAGGAGGAGGAGGAGGAGGAGGAGGAGGAGGTCAGGGTAGGAAGGCTATCAACCTCCGATCGAATAGTATGGACCACCGCCAGCGATAGCCAACCCATCGGGGGGGGGTGGGGGAGGAGGCGACCCCCTGGGCGGCAGCGCGCCCGAGCGTCGTTGTGCCCTGGCTGACGCTCGGGCGCGCCACCGCCCAGTGCCAGGGGGTCGGCCTCCTCCCGATGGGCTCACCGTGGCGGTGGTCCCTTCCGCCTCTCAGAGAGGGAGGAGAAGGAGGAGGGGGAGGAGGGGGAGGAGGAGGAGGAGGAGGAGGAGGAGGAGGAGGAGGAGGAGGAGGAGGAGGAGGCGGAGGAGGAGAGGAGGAGGAGGAGGAGGGAGGAGGAGGAGGAGGAGGGGGAGGAGGAGGAGGAGGAGGAGGAGGGAGGAGGAGGAGGAGGAGGAGGAGGAGGAGGAGGAGGAGGAGGAGGAGAAGGAGGAGGAGGAGGGAGGAGGAGGAGGGGGGGGAGGAGGAGGAGGAGGAGGAGGAGGAGGAGGAGGAGGAGGAGGAGGAGGAGGAGGAGGAGGAGAAGGAGGAGGAGGAGGAGGAGGAGGAGGAGGAGGAGGAGGAGGAGGAGGAAAGGGCCACAATAAAAGACCGCATCCTCAGCCTCACCGCGTCTCTCTTGTCGCCCATCTTCTCCGCGAGCTGCAGAGCGAGGGCGTACCTCTGCGGAGGGGCAGGACGAGGGATCCCCGCACCATGGACGGGCTGGAGGGAACGGCTTGAGGCGGAGAGGAAGAGAGCCTGTCGCGCAGAAGCTCCCGCGGGGCACTCCTCTCGCTGGGTGTTCCTTCAGGAGGGGGGAGGGGGCGACACGTGCACCTCTCGTGTACCCTGTGCCGGCCCGCGGTGGCAGTTTGGGGGCCGCGGAGGGCCTCGTTCGTTGAGGGCAGCACTGCCCCTCCCCCCCCCCCTGGTGCCGTCCGCCCCGGTCGGGGTCACCAAACTTGGCGCCCCGCGCCCCGCGCCCCCGTGATGCGCAGCTCTCTTCGCGCCCTCGCACGCGCCGCCCCGGAGAAGCGCGCCTCTCCAGCCCGAGCGGAGAAGCGCGGAGCGCGACTCTCTTTGCTCCCCTGTTGAGCAGGGACCGACCGTCCTGGCATTCGTATAGTCCTACCACGAAACGTTCTTAGAACCCATATGTTTTAAGAACAGAAGCGATGTTCTTAAAACAAAAGCCCCATGCGCTAAAACAAAACACTCTCCGCCAGAAATGTTCTAAGAACATTTCGTGGAAACCACAGCAGGTTTTTAGAACATTGTTTGGTAGGGCTATAGGCGAGCCAAGACGCTTCGCCACTGCTTGACCCTGGGGCGGGGGCTGGCCCAACTCCTGGGGGGACGACCTCCGGCCTCTCCCTGGGGCCCCCGCTGGCCGAGCCCGCTGCGATTGAGCAGGGTGCCGCGGACGACGCCTCGCTTCGGGAGTGCTGCGCGGAGAAGGCTGGTGGGCTTGTTTTTTCCACCGCCACCACCAGAAGCAGGAGTGGGAGGAGGCTCTCCTCCTCCTCTTCTTCCTCCTCCTCGTCCTCCACCTCCTTGCCCCCCTCCAACTTCCTGGTGGTGGTGGAGAGCAGGCCCATCTCAAGAGTGGCTCGTGACCTCCTCGCCGCGCGCGCGCGACGGGCGGGGCCGCGGGCAGGCGCCCCGAGGCGCTCGAGAGAGCAGCGGCGCCCGAGGCCGTGCGGCGGCTCTCCCCCCCCCCCATCCTACAGCTGCGCCCGAGACCGGGCGCGGAACGCCGCCCCCGCCCCCGCGCAGAAACGCCCGGTCCCGTCCCACGCCCTGTATCTGGATGGTGAGACTTCGGCGCGGGAAAGAGGGAGGGAGGGAGGGGAGGGGGAGGAGGGAGGGGAGGAGGGAGGAGGGAGGAGGGAGGAGGGAGGGAGGAGGGAGGAGAGGAGGGAGGAAGGAGGGAGGAGGGAGGAGGGAGGAGGGAGGGAGGGAGGGAGGGAGGGAGGAGGAGGATGAGGAGGAGGAGGAGAAGGAAAAGGAGGAGGAGGAGGGGGAGGAGAGGAGGAGGAGGAGGAGGAGGAGGAGGAGGAGGAGGAGGAGGAGGAGGAGCCTCCGCAGTTAGAACTGTCAGAAATCAGCCCCGGCCTCGACCTCCACAGGCCTGGGAGGATGGGGGAGCGGAGGGAGAGAAGGGAGAGGGGCAAGGGCGGCTAGGAGGGCAAGGAAACGGGTGTGGGAGGGGGCAGGGGGGGGGGGAGGAGAGAGGGAAGGGGGAGAAATCGATGCAGGTGCGCATGCGACATATGTGACAGCGTACCCCTCCCACCAGTCCCTTCCCATTGCAATGAAATCTTTCCTATTCACCGACGGAGGACCTCTAGATTGCGATGACTCCAATGACCCCATAGTGTAAAGCACAGCGAATGAGGGCTTTGTACATTGGAGCAGGACGTGGTAGATGAACAGGAGGAGAAGGAGGAGGACGAGAGAAGGAAGAGGAGGAGCAACAGCAGCAGCATCAGCAGGAGTCGAAGGAGCGGGAGGAGCAGCAAGCTGAGAAGAGGGACGGCGGAGGAGGGGTAAAGCAAGCGGGCGGCCATCACGAGGAACGAAACCCGCGATGACGCGAAAGGAAAGCGCCATGCAATACAATCAAGCCGTTTAAGAAGGACGCACGATAAGGCTGCAAAGGCCTTGGAAGGCCATGCCGACACTTCACAGATTCTACGAACAATTGTTCAAGGATTTTGGGCGTTCTCACATTGTCAGCTTCCGGAGGCTCCAAACGGCCCAAGAGGCTCCAGCGATCGCCCCGCGAAGCCTCCGGGAGGGTCCCGACACGGGCCAACGAGGGCCCGTGGAAGGCCCAAGACGCCTACCAGACGGCCCAGGAGATCCCTATGAGGGGTTCCGAGGTGCCCAGACGGGGGAACCAAACGGACCTGTCGAGCTCTGGGCCCCGAGGGGCTCCCAGGTGGCCCCAGGTGGCCCCCAAGAGGCGGCCCCCAACAGGCTCCTGCCCAGAGGCTCCCAAAAGGCCTGCAAGATGCTCTCTAGGGGCCCCCAGACTGCCTCCCAGAGGCCTCCGAACGCGCTCCGAATGAGACCCCGAACAGAATCTCTGAGGACATTGACCCACGTCAGCGTCGTCGTCGTCGTTGTCGTCGTCCCCCTTCAGGGTCGACGGCGCCGGCCGTAAAGCCCTCGCAATAGACTCTGGAGCCGATGATCGCCGGAGCCGCGTCTGCTGACACCACGCGAATCGCGGCAGGCAGCGAAGACTGAAACGCTTGCTAGGGGTAACCAGACCGAGGGAGGAAAAATACATAATATTTCGACGCCGACAGTGCTGTTCTCCCCCCCCGAGAGAGGCCAGGGAAAGTTTTCCCTTGCTGATTCCTGGGCGAACATGACTCATCAATGTGAGGGGGGCGAACGGTCATTCACTGTCCCTGGGTGCGTGGCTGAAGTGGGATTTCGCGGTGCGGATTCTCGTTGTTGTTTGTTGCTGTTTGTTGTCGTCGTCCCACCCGCAAGCCGCCCCGCGACCCAACCGCGACCCACCCCGCGACCCACCCCGCGACCCACCCGCGACCCACCCGCGACCCACCCCGCGACCCACCCCGCGACCCACCCGCGACTCACCCGCGACCCACCCGCGACCCACCCCGCGACCCACCCCACGACCCACCCCGCGACCCACCCGCGACCCACCCGCGACCCACCCGCGACCCACCCCGCGACCCGCCCGCGGCCCACCCCGCGACCCACCCGCGACCCACTCGCGACCCACCCGCGACCCACCCGCGACCCACCCGCGACCCACCCGCGAACCACACGCGACCCACCCGCGACCCACTTTCGACCCAAACCACGTTCAAGGTACAAACCTCCATGTTCGGCGCCTGCGGCGGGTTTTTTTTGCATTCCTCCCAACCGGAGAGCCCGCGACCCACCCCGCGACCAACCCGCGACCCGAACCACGTTCAGGGTACAAACCACATTTTTCGGCGCCTGCGGCGGGCATTTTTTGCATTCGTTCCCGGTGGAGAGCCCGCGGCCCACCCGCGACCACGTTCAGGGTACAAACCAATTTGTTCGGCGCCTGCGGCGGGCATATTTTGCAGTCGTTCCCTGTGGAGAACCCGCGGCCCACCCGCGACCCATTCCACGTTCAGTGTACAAACCAATTTGTTCGGCGCCTGCGGCGGGCTGCTTTTGCATTCCTTGCAGGTGGAGGTGGAGATCCCGCGACCCACCCGCGACCCAAACCACGTTCACTGAACAAACCAATGCCGCACAAGCGCGGCGGCGGATTTTTGAATGCCGTCTGAGCCCGCAACGACCTCTTCAAGCCCCGCGCATCCACACCAGCCCGTCCAGCAACTTTGCCCTGGCGAGTTGCCTTGATCAGAGAAGTCGGGGAGCATAAAGTGGATTCAAGGATTGCGTTGCCGTTATCTTGGGAAAAGGAGGGGGAAGCAGGAGGAGTAAACAGGGGACGAGGAGGACGCGAAAGAAGAGAGGATGTAAGGATAATGTGGAGAAAGAGGAGGAGGAGCAGCAGGAGGACAAGGAGGGGGAGAAGGGGGAGGAAGGGGAGGAGGAGGACGAGGAGGGGGAGGAGGGGGAGGAGGAGGAGGAGGAGGAGGAGGATGGACGACAATGGGAGGACGATGATGGAGGCCGATGAGGGGGTGGACGACACTTGGAGGACGATGATGGAAGAACGAGGGGGGAAGAGGGAGGACGAGGAAGAAGAGGAGGACGAGGTGGAGGAGGAGGAGGACGATGACGATGACGACGACGACGAGGACGAGGAAGAGGAGGAGGAGGAGGACGAGGAAGATGAGGAGGATGAGAGGGAGGAGAGCGCCATCGACAGGGAAGGTGGGGGCCACGAGGTCCGCCGGCTCGACGACGTCCGCGTCGCCCGCGCCCGCCCCCTTACTCTTATCCGCAATTGCGGGGTGCTATGTATTGAGTAACTGCGGCGGGCGGGGTAGATGACGGAGACCAACCAACGACCACCAAAATCAAAACACAATCGAAAGATCGTTCGCGGATGCCCAAATAGTGGCACAGCATCCCGCAGAGTGAGACAGACCCTGAGATCCGACGTTGCGAAAGCATTAAACCTCGCAACGAAACGCACGACCCGAGCCACGGACCCCACCTTTCCGCGTCATGTTTCAGACCAGATGGGCCCGAGAGGGTCCTGGGGACCGACACGGTGCGAAAATACGCCTGTCGTGAAACAAATGCGACGCCGGGATCTCAGGGGACACCAAGCGTCAGCCCGCGGCACGACGGACGGCAATTTTCTGGCCGGCGGGCCCTCGACGTGCTCCGAGGACGCGCGGCACGGGTGACCGCAGGAGGAGGAGGAGGAGGAGGAGAAGGAGGAGGGTGAAGGGGAGGAGGAGGAGGAGGAGGAGGAGGAGGAGGAGGAGGAGGAGGAGGAGAAGGAGGAGGAGGCGGCGGAGGAGGAGGAGAAGGAGGAGGAGGAGGAGGAGGAGGCGAGGAGGAGGGGGAGGTGGTGGCGGAGGCGGAGGCGGCGGAGGGATGAGGAGGAGGAGGAGGGGAGGAGGAGGAGGAGGAGGAGGAGGAGGGGAGGAGTGCCCAAAGGTGCGGGGCCACGGCGAGAGGCAACGGGGGCCAGCGGGGGGCCAGCGGGGGGCCAGCAGGAGCGATGAAGGGGGGGGGGCGGGGGGCGGTGAAGGGAAGAGGGAGGAGGAGGAGGGAGGAGGGGAGACGGAAGAGGGAGGGAGGGAGGCAGGAGGAAGAGGAGGGCGAGGGAGAGGGGAGGGAGGGAGGGAGCGAGGGAGGAGGCGAGGGAGGGAGGGATGAGGAGGGAGCCCGTGCTTCAAGGGACGGCGCCGGGCGGCGGGGCCGAGACCAACAGGTTTCGCACCCCCTCCTCCTCTCCCGCTCCGACCCGAGGAGGAAACACGAAAATAGTGGCCAAGACGGAACGCGCAAGCGTCGGGGTCGAGCTCGGTCCTCGTCCGTCTTGGTCATCGAGGAGGAGGAGGAGGAGGAGGAGGAGGAGGAGGAGGAGGAGGAGGAGGAGGAGGAGGAGGAGGAGGAGAGGGAGGAGGAGGAGGAGGAGGAGGAGGAGGAGGTCTACTCGCGGAGCATCCCGGCGAGTCGGCGACGGCTGGCACCGACTAGGACCAAGATTGGCGTCGACAAGCTCCCGCGAAGTCTTGGTCGTGGTCAACGTTCCTCTTCCCTCGAGTACAGTCGATGCGTTGACCTAAGGAACCCTGAATAAGGAACGAGGCCTCTTTTTGTTCATAAGTTGACCTTCGACTTCCCATCGAAAGCTTAAGGACAACCTTGGGCAGGGTGTGGAACAATCAAGGAACACCGAGCCCCTCCCCAACGAAAAGGGTTCCTTCTTCAGGGCCCCGACTGTAGGCAGGCGCGTTCCACTACTCGCAGAAGTCACTACTCGCAAATGGCCCAGATCCGCCGTGGGGCATCAACGATGTACTACATCGAGGCGAACGTGGTTTTGGTTCGGACGTTTGCGAGTAGGCACTTTGCGAGTACAGCCAAAAACCCTAGTAAGGACGCGCGGTAAGGACGCAAGACCCTTGGAAGCCGAAGTTGGGATTTTTGGGGCGGCGGACGACGAAAACCTCAAGGACGCAAGGGCAAGGAAAAGCAAGGACGCAAGAGTACCCTGAGCACAGTCGCGCGTCCGTAGTAGAGCTTTTTACTGTAATGGAACGCGCTCGGTGATCGAGCAAGGAAGATCAAAGGCGGGCCGAGGCCGAGGCATCTCGAGCAGCCCCGCCGGACCCGCGTCGTCCGCCGCGCGGCCCGTGCTCGGCACGCCTCCTCCCGGGGCTGGCTGCCAAGTCAGCGGGAGCCCCGGGCGACCCGCTCTGGGGCACCGCTCGTCTGGGAGTCCACACGTGGGCGTTGGTCCTCGCGTTCGGCCCTCGGGGGCCGTTGGCGGGACCCGGGACCACCCAAAAAATGATTCCAGGGAAAACGTCGAGGAACAAACAACGGCATCAGCATAAACTGTCGGCGCTCCGCGCGGGTTTCTTGGATCCGCGCTGGCCCCCCCTCCCTGGCGCGCGGAGCGCGCTAGGGGCGGCGCAGATCCAAGAAATCCGCGCGCAGCCCCGACAGTTCATCTTCTCCTTCGTTCCTCTGCGTTAGTATTGTCTTCATCTCCATCTTCTTCATCTTCTTGTCCGTAGCATATGGTTGTTGTTGTTTCATATTCGTCTTCTTCGTCTTCTTCAACCGCTTTCTCCTTTTTATTATTATGATTCGTCTTCTTCTTCGTCTTCTTCTTGAACAAACTGCCCCCCGGGAAGCGGGCGGGACCTCAGTGGCCGCGGCTTGAGAACACCGGATCGGCGGATGTCAGGGCAGCCGCTCGGCTAGGGACCGGCCGTCGCAGCATTCCTACAGGCCTACCACGACATGCTCTTAGAACCTCAGAACCCGAAACGCTCTCAGAAGAAAACAAGGTTCTTAGGCCAGCACTCCGATGTGTTTAAGACAAGACAGACTCAGCCAGGCATGCTCTAAGAACGTTTCGTGCTGACCACAACAGGTTATTAGAAGAACATTATTTCGTGGGCCTATGGGCGAGCCAGGACGCTTCGCCACTGCTTGACCAAAGCCTTCCTCGGGCATAGGGGTGGCCCGACCCACAGGAAGCGCCCGCGAGTGCCGTGCTGCGCTTGCCCACCTAGAGCTGCTTGGGGGTGGGCCTGGGAGAATGCCAGCACGCCTCGGCACTGCTCGACGATTCCCACCATCCCTCCCTCTCCTCCCAATCCTCATCCTTACTCCTCCTCTCTCCTCCCTCCCCTCGTTTCTCCTTCGTGCCCGTCCAAAGAACTGCGGAACCGTAGGGACGTCCTCAGATGCCCCGAGACTCCAAATGCCTCTGGAGGCCTCCAGAAGCAACACGGGCCAACAATATACCCAACAATCTCAATCCTCCATCCAAAACGATCGCCCGCTTCCCCAACTCCTCTCATCTCCGAGCACCGCTCCCCAGGGCTGGACCTAAACGTTGTTTTTCGTTTTGCTCCACCTGTTTTCCTGTACTTTCCCTCCCAAACGAAAAACAATACACAGCCGAAGACCAGCAAAACAGCGTTGAGGTCAAGCCCTGCCGCTCCCCCCATCATCTTCACTCAGCTCCCCCCGCTCCCTCGAAGACCTCAGGGTTCCCCTCGCAGCCCGTTCGGAGTGTGCACCCCATGCGGCCGCTGGATTGGGCCACCGGACGTGCTCAAACCCTGACGCTCGTGGGCAGCTGGCCCGCTCGGCGGCCCAGCGGGCTGAAGCCTGAACCCGCTCGGCGGCGGAGCGCTAGGTCGGGCATGTCCCCCTACAGGCGGATTTTGCAAGACAAAAGAAAAATAGTGGAAACATGCCCCAAGATGATCAGAAATAGTAGAAAAAAAGTTTGGCTACCTTTGTATACTCCTCATGTGGAGGGACAGGCCCGACTGAAGCTGAGCGGTCTCGGACGCCGCCTGGGCTCAGAAGCAAACCCCCGGACCTGTGGGCGATGGGCCCGCTCCCGAGGGCCACGGGTGCTGCATCTGCGGAGGGGCCCTCTCTGCTGGACCGGCTGCTCACATCCTGACTGCCTAAACCACCCCGACCCAACCCGAAGGGCCGAATTTTGCCCGAATTTCGGGTTGGGGGGGTACGGGTTCCATGTGTTTTTTCAGTGTTCCCCGACCCCCCCTCTATTAGAAATGGAGGGCAAATCGGGGCCTTCGGGTTGGGTTGGGGTGGTTTGGTGGGCGGTGATATCCTGAGCTGTCCCAGGACTGCCTCCGGGTCCGGCCGAACACGGCGCAAAGCGAAAGACTCGGTGGACCCGCTTCCTTCAGCAGATGGACGCAAGACCACACAAGCACATAATCGCCCGGAAAATCCCTTGGTTTGGCGCCGGATGCTCCTCCCCTGGCGCGCTCCGTGCGCCAGCCAACGCCGATCCGGTCAATCCGTGCAGTCCTCCCGAAGTCTATGTCGGCGGCGAGCGAGGGGGGAAAGTGAGAAGGAGAAGATCCTCTCTGAAGGCGGCGGGGCTAATCAGAAGAACTCGCGCCATCTGAGAAGTTCCTAGTGTCTCCAGGGAAGGCTTAGGACACTTCTCAGAAGGCTGGGTGAATCCCAAGCCTTCTGAGAAGGCCAGCCCCTTCTCACTTCCCCCCCTTCGCCGGCCGCCGACTATGATATTTGCACTCTTGATATTTTTGGTATCTTCGGCGCAAAAAGCCGATCACCGGGCAAGCCCCTGCGCTGGCGACGGAACGTTCGATTTTTTCCTGGGGTCTCAAAACCCTTACGGAGACCTCCGAGAGCCTCGGGCAAGACCTCCAGAGAGAACCCGAGACCTCCAAACGGCATCGGTCATCGGTCGTCGGTGGTCGGTCGTCGGTGGTCGGTCGTCGGTGGTCGTCGTCGTCGTCGTCGGTGGTCGTCGTCGTCGTCAGCGTCGTCGTCGTCGTCGTCGTCGTCGTCGTCGTCAGTCGTCGGTCGTCGGTCGTCGGTCGTCGGTCGTCGGTCGTCAGTCGTCAGTCGTTGTCGTCGTCGTCCGTCGTCCGAAGTCCGAAGTCCGTCGTCCGGCGTCCGTCGTCCGTCGTCTTTCGTCTGTCGTCCGTCGCTCGTCGTCGCCGTCATCGTCGTCGTGGTCGTTGTCGTCGTCGTCGCCGTCGTCGTCCGCGTCGTCGTCGTCGTCGTCGCCGTCGTCCGCGTCGTCGTCAGTGTCGTCGTCCGCGTCGTCAGCCGCCCCGCGGGGCGCAGAGCGTCACGTCGTAACGCCAACGTAGCCCCTCCCGCTCCCCCTGGAAATGGCGCTATACGGCGGGGGGAGAAGAGAACTGGCACCACATACGAAGATGTTGAACACGGACCGACCGTCCCGGCATTTTTAGTCCTACCAACAAAATCTTCTTAGAACCCAGAAATGTTCTAATAACAAAAGCAATGTTCTTAGAACATAAGCCCGATGTGTTCAAACAGGACAGCCCCAGCCAGAAATGTTCTGGGAACATGCCGTGGAAACCACAAAAGGTTCTTAGAACATTGTCTGGTAGGGCTATAGGCGAGCCAGGACGCTTCGCCACTGCTTGAAGATGTGATCTTGACTGTGCACGCCCCCGGAGGCTCGGACCCCGTCCCAGGACTGCGCACGGCCCCCCGAAGGTGCGGACCCCATCCCAGGGCGAGAGCGTTCCGCCCCGGCTCGGGCCCTGACTGCCCCGGGCACCCGCACCCGGAGCAGGACCCAGGGAGAAAGAATATGGGGGAGACGGGTCCTAAGGGAAGCGGGTCCTGAACCCTGGGGCCCTCACCCGGGAGCAACCCCTCATCCTGCGTCGCTTTCTGACAGTCCTGGGCTCTGGGAAGCCGGAGGGAGGCGAACAAAACATCAGGACCCCGGTTTCGGGCAAGAGGCCGCCCTCTCATTGCTGGTCTGGGAAAGGGGTCTAAAACTGCTCGCCTGGGAGAGTTGTGACCCCCTCCCATTGTATGACCACATCTGGAATATTGTTCCTCGCGGCGCTCCCCCCTCCACCCGGATGTCGGCGGCAAGCGAGGGGGGAAAGTGAAAAGGAGAAGGCCTATCAGAAGGTTCGGAAGTCTCCTGGTCTTCTGAGAGGTTTCCGAAGCCTTCCCCGAAGACATTAGAAACTTCTCAGCAAGAGCGAGGGCTTCTGAGAAGTCCCGTCGCCTTATGAGAAGGCCTTCTCCTTCTCACTTCCCCCCCTCGCTTGCCGCCGAATTCCACTTTCGCGTCGTGACTCGGGTCTTCGATGGCCGCTCGGCACGATCCGGAAACCCCAGGAAATTGCCCCGGCGAGGCGCAGACGCCGGAACGCCTCCCGAGCCTGGAAAACCGCCAAGAAACCACAGAACCGCCCGAAAACCTGGATGCTCGAAGTTCAAGGTTTGCGAAAACCGACAACGCCTTCTCGCTTCCCCCCCCCTTGCTCGCCGCCGACAGTTAGGCCCGCACCGCGCCCCCGCTCTGCCCCGCCCGTCCTCGGGCACCCGCCGCGCGGCAGGCGCAGGCGAAGGCGCGCGCGGCGCGGGAGCGCCTGGGCCGCAAGGGAAGCTCCCCCCAGGGGCGGCCGCCTCTTCGTCCCCGGGGCACTGGAAGACGAGGAGGAAGAGGACGAGGAGGAGGAGGAAGAGGAGGAGGAGCAGGAGGAGAAGGAGGATGAGGAGGAGGGGGAGGAGGAGGAGGAGAAGGAGGAGGAGGAGGAGGAGGAGGAGGAGGAGGAGGAGGAGGAGGAGGAGGAGGAGGAGAAGGGGGAGGACGACGAGGAGGAGGAGGAGGAGGAGGAGGAGGAGGAGGAGGAGAAGGGGGAGGGAGGAGGAGGAGGAGGAGGAGGAGGAGGAGAGAGGAGGAGGAGGAGGAGGAGGAGGAGGAGGAGGAGGAGGAGGGGGAGGGGGAGGGGGAGGAGGAGGGGGGGGGAGGAGGGAGGAGGAGGAGGAGGAGGAGGAGGAGGAGGAGGAGGAGAAGGAGGAGGAGGGGGAGGGAAGGAGAAGGAGAGGAGGAGGAGGAGGAGGAGGAGGAGGGAGGAGGAGGAGGAGGAGGTGGAGGGGGAGGAGGAGGAGGAGGAGGAGGAGGAGGAGGAGGAGGAGGAGGGAGGAGGAGGAGGAGGGAAAGGAGGAGGGGGAGGGGGAGAAGGAGGAGGGGGAGGAGCAGAAGCAGGAGGAGGAGGAGGAGGACGAGGAGGGATTGCCGCGTGGGTTGCTAAAAGGATAGGGGGATACAAGTAGATGCTAAGGTGGATTCCATCTTGCCTAACCAAGCTTAGAAGCGGGGGTTTCACGTGCTGTGAGTG